AATTCATAGTTCTCAAACTTCCATTCAACTCAATTTCTGTTGGTTCTGAGCAATGGTTGTTCTATATTTTAGTTGTAATTTTTTTGTGGTTGTGTGAAGTAGCAAGGCATGTCTGCCAATAATGCCATCTTGACCAGAAGGCCCTACACTGTTTTCAAGAAATGGTAGCCACCAAGGAAGAATAACTTTATCCTCAAAAGAACACTTCATTGAGAAACCCATACTTTAAGTCAGTGTGACTTTTACAGAAAGTCATATCAATTCAAGGGGAGAAGCACAACCTTTATATATATATATATATATATATATATATATATATATATATATATATATATCTCCTAAAGATACCAAGTATAGGGGAGAAAAAATATTTAGGTTCTCATCTGGGTCTCTTAACAAAAAACAGATTAGCAAGAGAAAAACAGTTTATTAATATATACACATATCTCATATATACTTGGAACTCGAGGATGAGTAAGTCAAAGGGGTGTCTAGAACTTGGGTATAGATAGCATCTCATTAAAGAAACAGTGAATTTGTACAGAAATGACATGACAAAGAAAAATGGTTTCAGGCTTCCAAGGAGGGAAACTGGGAAGATAAACACATGGGCGAAAACAATGAAGTAAGGTTTGTTTGCAGATTCCTCTGGTGTCACCTCTGGGCTAAGAGGCTAGGCAATCTCCGGTAAAGAAAACAAACATTCCGGTTTTAGACAGCAAGGAGGGGAAAGAGAGCTCTTCCTGCTTTTGCTGTTTCTTAATTGTCTTTAGCTCAAAATAATTCTTATGTCAAAGGAGCACACTTTGGGGTGACATTTTCTGGTTTCCTTCACCAGTGAGTTTGTTTTCTAGGATGTCAATATTTCGTACTATGGGAGCTTTACTATTCTAAGATGATAAGGTCTTTGGTATGGGAAGCCTTTAGAAGGAGAAGCAGTACCATGATGCTCAGGGCTGCTTGACACCTTATGTTGTATATACAATTAGAGTTGTATAACTGTTTAAGATATATACATGTATACACACTTATTTTAAACAAAATGCCTGTTGCCATGATAGTCAGACAATTCTTGTAATTGTGTGAAAGGTGATGAGTTGATTGGATTGCTTAAGGGACTTACATAGCAACAGAAAGATAAGATGACTGAGTGAATTCCATTTGATGTCACAATACCTCTGCCTCAGGGAAGGTGTTTAAAATCAGATGAATCATGGGTTCTGCATCTCTCTTGCTCCCCATCTGTTGATGCTGGTTTATCTGCACTCAAAGGTGGGACTTCCCAGTCCACCAGTCACAGGGTTTCAGTCCAGGGAAATAAAACCTCTAGCTGTAAAAATATGAGGGGGTTGCAATGGCAGGAGGATCTCCCAGTCTCACAGGAGTCTGTTGGAGGGACCCACAGGGTCCTAGTATGTACACAAGCTCACCCACCAGGGATTCAGCACCAGAAGGGTGTAATTCACTTGTGGTTAGCAGGGGAAGTGACTGAAAGTGGGGTGAGAGCCAAGCAAGTGGCATTGTTTCCGACCCCTCCCCCACTTATAGCTCCACAGTACAGCCAACAGCCTGACCTGATGAATACCTAAGGCTCTGCCCCTTACAATGTAACAGGTGTGCCAAGACAAAGAAATATGGCCAAAATGAAAGAACAAAACTCAAGAAAAAGAACTAAGTGACAAGGAGATAGCCAACCTACCAGATGCAGAATTCAAAACACTGGTAATCAGGATGCTCACAGAAATGGTTGAGTATGGATGCAAAATAGAGGAAGAAGTGAAGGCTATTCAAAGTGAAATAAGGAAAAATATTCTTGCCCTGGCTGGTGTAGCTCAATGGATTGAGCGCGGGCCTGGGAACCAGAGTATCGTGGTTCGATTCCCAGTCAGGGCACATGCCTGGGTTGCAGGCCAGTTCCCAGGGGGGGACACACGAGAGGCAACCATACATTAATATTTCTCTCCCTCTTTCATTCCCTTCCCCTCTAAAAATAAATGAATAAAATCTTTAAAAAAATATATTCTTTATTATTTAGGGAACCAACAGCGAAGGGAAGGAAACTGGGACTCAAATCAATGATTTGGAGCAGAAGGAAGAAAAAACATTCAACTGGAACAGAAGGAAGAAACAAGAATTCCAAAAAATGAAGAGAGGCTTAGAAACCTGTGGAAACATTACAACATCTGACTCATAGGGGTACCAGAAGGAGAAGAGGATGGGCAAGAAATTGAAAACTTATTTAAAAAAACTAATGAGGGAAAACTGCATCTGGTGAAGGAAATAGACATATAAGTCCAGGAAGCTCTGAGAGTCCTAAAGAAGTTAGATCCAAGGAACACCACACAAAAACACGTCATAATTATATTACCCAAGATTAAAGATAAGGAAAGAATCTTAAAAGCAGCAAGAGACAAGGAGACACTTACCTACAAAGGAGTTCCAAGAAGACTATCAGCTGACTTATCAAAAGAAACCTTTCAGGCAAGCAGGGGCTGGAAAGAAGTATTCTAAGTCATGAAAGGCAAGGAACTACATCCAAGATTGCTCTATCCAGCAAAGCTTTCATTTAGAATGGAAGGCAGCCCTAGCTAGTGTGGCTCAGTGGACTGAGCACGGGCCTGTGAACCAAAGGGTCGCTGGTTTGATTACCAGTCTAGGGCACATGCCTGGGTTGCAGGCCAGGTCCCCAGTAGGGGGTGCATGAGAGGCAACCACACATTGATGTTTCTCTCTCTCTCTTTCTCTCTCCCTTCCCCTCTCTAAAAATAAATAGGTAAAACCTTAAAAAAAAAATAGAATGAAAGGGTAGATGAACTGCTTCCCAGATAAGGTCAAGTTAAAGGAGTTCATCATCACCAAGTCCTTATTATATGAAATATTAAAAGGATTAAGCTAAGAAAGAGAAGATCAAAACTATGAACAGTAAAATGATGACAAGCTCATAACTATAACAACTGAGCCTAAAAAAACCCCAATAAACTAAGCAAACAACTAGAGCAGGAACAGAATCACAGAAATGGAGGTCACATGGAAGGTTATTGGTGGGGGTGGGGGAGAATGGGGAAAAAGGTACAGGGAATAAGAAGCATAATTGGTAGGTACAAAATAAGTAGGAGAAGGTTAAGAACAGTGTAAGAAATAGAGAAGTCAAACAACTTATACGTATGACCCGAAGAACTTATACCTATGACCCATGGACATGACCCATGGACCCATTTCCCCGTGGACAGGGGGAAATGCTGGTCAGAGGGAAGAAGCAGGGAGGAGAGGAATAAAAGAAAAAAAAATGGGACAACTATAATAGCATAATCAATAAAATATACTTAAAAGATAAAATCAGATGAATTAGTAGTAGAGTAGGAAAAAAGAGCAAGGGAAAGAAAGTGTGGTTTTCAGAACTCAGAAACCTAGGTAGAGATGTACAATGAATCACCATGGGTGATAGCTTTTGTGATGTTACTTTATTTTTATTTTCTGATTACAGTTGGCATTCAATATTATATTAGTTAGAGGTGTGTGGTATGGTGGTTAGACATTTAATTTTCAAAGTGTTCCTCCCCAGTTATTCTACTACTCACCTGGAACCACACACAGTTATTAGCTCCTGTGATTTTTTTTAAAGCTTTATTTTAAAGCTTCTGCTTTATTCAATAGGATGCTCACTCCCCCCACGGCCTCAATGATCTCCTGAAATATGAGATCCTTACTACCCTCCTTACTACCAAAAACCAAATAAAACCAAAAACAAGGACACACACGGAAAAGAAAATTCTTAGCAGGGCTCTGGTGGCATGGCCTCTCTATTCCCGCCTTACACTTATTTTAATGCTTAAAAAACACCATTTAATTAATTTATTTTTTAGAGAGAGGGGAAGGGAGCGCATGGCCTCTCACATGCCCTCAACAGGGGACCTGGCCCCACAACCCAGGCATCTGCCCTGACCAGGAATTGAACTGGTAACTTTTAGGTTTGCCAGAGGATGCCCAACCCACTGAGCCACATCAGTCTGGGGAACAACGAGCAATTTCTTAGTCTAAGCATTTTCTCCTGTTTCCTTGGCCTGGAATACTAGTACCACCTTTTTTTGTGTGGAGAACAATCATTTACTTTAGAAACCTCTAATATCTGTCAGGAAACCTTCTCTGGTTCTTCATCTGGGTATTGGCCCCTGCCTCTCAGCTCTGTCCATATCCCTATTTTATTATTTTATTGTCTTAAATCTGTTCAATACTCCATACTATTTTATTTTATTTTATTTTGGACACCTGTTCTCTAAACCCCAAAGAACTATTTAATTCTTTAGGGTGTGACACCCCAAAATGTTTATGCAGCTAACATGAACCCATGTTTGGTCATCATTGACCCAGTGACCTCCATCAAACAGAACTTGGGCTTAGCCTCCCTAAGCTATATCTTAAAATCACCACGTTTGTAAGTGCCTCCAGGACACAAGTCCATCTTGCAGGGTTTGAAATGTTTGCCACCATTTCTCATCTTACTTCGGTCTTGGCTCCAAGTCGGGGCTCACCCTGATCAAGTGCCTGGAGAGAGGGAAAGGACATTCTAATTTTTAGGAAACGATTACTCCCAGTCCGCCCTGGTGGAAGGCAGAACCGTGGGCGGCACAAAGGCAGTACGGACCGACCGGAGTTCAGCCCCACCCCGACCCTACCTGTGCTACACACTCTGGGTTTTCAGGTGGATACCGTCCAGGTGGGGGTCACCTCCCAGCCGCGCGTCCCGGCGAAGTCGTCACGGACCCTTAGCCCGCACCCAGCAGCGGAGGAAGCAGCGCCGCGGGATGGGGGAAGGTCCCCGCGCGCTGCCCACCCTCTCCCCGGCGGCAAGCGGGCGGCGGGACCCAGGAGGGGAAGCCCGGGGTGTTCGAGGCTTCTACCCCGGAAACCCCGAGGGAAGGAGGGGCGGGGAGGAGATCAGTTTCTCGGGAGTTGAGCAACCGCGGGGGCAGAGGCGGACACTCCCACGCAGCCCGCTGCGCCGACCCCCGGCCGAGCCCTAACCAAAAGCGAAAGGAGCTGCGTCCCCAGCGTGGAGTCCGCAGGGAGGTCGCCGCCGGCCTCCCAGTCCGCGGGGCCGCCACTTTGTGACTTCACGCGTTTCGCAACAAGCCCGGACCACTCGCGCCCCACCCACCCCGGCCGCTGCTGAGCCGTCCGCCGCCTCCTCCGGTCTTCCTCTCCCTCCGGGCGGTCTTCCTCTCCCTCCGGGCCGGGCCTGCCTCCGCCTTCGCGGAGCCGCCCGTCCAGCCCGTCCGAAGGCAGCGGCTGTCCGGCCCTGGTCGCCGCCTGCCGGGCTGGCACGTGGCGGCCCCCCGCTCCTCCGAGCCGCGCGACGCCTGGCCCCCAGCTGAGCGCAGCGCACTCCTAGCGTCGAGATGCTGTGCTTCTTGAGGGGAATGGCCTTCGTCCCCTTCCTCCTGGTGACCTGGTCCTCCGCCGCCTTCATCATCTCCTACGTGGTCGCTGTGCTCTCCGGGCACGTCAACCCCTTCCTCCCCTACATCAGGTGAGGGACAGAATGGATGGAGGGGCCGGGACTGGGCAGAGACACCACAGGGAGCATTGCTGATGCAGAGGGCCGGGAACCAGACCCAGCTTGGGCATCTTGCAGAAAGGCTGAGGTCTAACTGTGAGGAAAAGAAAGGCTGCATCCTGACCCCTGTATAGGGTCAGCTGCGGAGCTGAGCAGTCCTGACTTCACCCTGACCCATCAGACGGGGTTTGGGATAGACAGAACCACACAGAACTTTCAGATGGTAGGGCTCAGAATCTCTGGAATCCTTGGCGATGATGGATGCTATTTATTGAGAGTGCCAAGCTGGAGATCTAGGTGTGCACTAAAACGGCTCATATATTTCACTTCTGCTTCCCAGCATCCTCATGAAGTGTGTGTTTGGCTCATTTTTCATGAAAGGAAACTAAGTTTAAGCAGATGTTGAAATACCATCAGTGTGACACTGATGTCACAACTAGCAGAATTCACACCCAGATTCGTCCCCTGCCAAAAGCAACACTCCAGGTCTTTGGGAGTCGGGCTTAAGCTCTCCTGGATGGAGCTGCCCAAGACTCCTCTGGGTTCGGTGCCCCCAGTGTGAGACCCCTCATTTTGTCCACAACCTGTGACATCTGTCACATTGTCTATGCCGTTTAATTTCCATGAGTTTGGGCCTCCACCTTTAGGGTTACTTCATCATTGCCCGACACATGCCCTGATCCTCTCTGTGTGGCTCCCAAGTCTGTGCCTTTAGAATGATTCATCTTTATCCAGGTGGTATGACTATAGATCTGTGTTGGCTGGTGAGGGGACAATAAAGTTGGTGACCCCTGAAGTTTATGGAGGTGATACAGACTGTAGGGTCTCCCTCTCCTACAGCCCTTCAGCTTTATGCCCAGTAGTGTATAATTTATTTTTCTTTGTGGGTGAGGAAGGGGAAATGAAGGTGAAGCAAGAGGAGGCTAGAGTATATAGATGTGAGGAAGAGATCATTATGGAGACAGGGCACCTCTGCAGTCCTGATTTCTCCCGTGCAGAAGGAGGTGTTCCATGCATCAGGCAAACATTCCCATCCGGGCTTGTGCCCCTGCAGAAACCTGGGCTTGGTGTCTTGTGGCTCATCTCAGTCCTAAGTGCCATTATCTCACTCCTCTTGATTCCAAAGCAGGATAGGTCCTCTTAGACTTGTGTAAAAAGCTTCTCTTCCCACAATGTTTTTTTTTTAAATTTTATAGGAATTTATTTGAGCCAAACTGATGACATATGCCAGGGAGCAAGATCTCAAATGCCCCCCTCCCTGCGCCGTGCTTTTTATTGAGAAAAAGTACCAGTTTTTGTCCCGGATCTGAAGGGACAGATAACAGTAGATACACATTGGCTAGGTGGTCAGGGGCAGGATTTGAGTCTTTATACAGGTGACTGACATAGTTGTGATTAATATCACCACCACGTGAACTTGAAATGGAAGATATTCAGAAATAGGGAAATGAGCTGACAAGGCAAACCACTTGTGAGATAATCAAATCACAGACAGGCCAAGGAAGAGGATTTAAATTTATCTAGGAGAGAAAACCTTAAGGAAAAGCAGAATTAGAGGATAAAAAGGCATGAGATTGTTCCCTTGTTGCTAGGAGTTATCAGCCTACAAACAAACAACAAACTTGTGGATGGCTTGCCTGCTTACTGCCTGCGCCTGAGGCTTTTAAATTGTCAACTCTCTGCCCACAAGAGCGTCTAAAGCACTGGATTGCCTCAGCCCTTCCTAGAAAACCGAGTCTTTGAGGGCAAGATGTAGCGCCAGACCTGATGGTAGTGCCAGATTTAGCAATTTTGCCCAGAAATGTTCAGCTTTATCTTCTAGAACTCATCTCTGCTGTCAGTACCTCCTACTCCTCCTTAACCCCCTCCTTCCACTTCCTCTGAACACACCGGCTTCCTTCCTGCGTCTTAAATGTGTCAGGCCTGCCCATATCCAGTCTCAGTATTCACCTCAGCACCTGCCACCTCTAACCATGTATGTGATTTACTTATTATGTCGACTACCTGTCTTCCCCCTGGAGTGTAAGATTCATGAAGGCTCTCCATATTTGATGAATTGATATTTCTTTGGCACTCACTGTGGGTATTGTTATTCTTCCCCTTAGGGCAGGGCAGATCACTTTAGGGAAGACTTGATTAGTGATTGGAACGTACAGATGCTCCTTGACTTTGCGGTTATATCCTGATAAACCCAGCTTAAGTCAAAAAAGATCAATGTAACAGATGTTCAAGCCTATAGAGACTTTTAAAAAAAAATTTTATTGCTGTTTTTCTTATGTTGTAGAGACTTTTTATACGAGTTTATTTGAGGCAAGCTGACAACATGTGTTGGGAATAAGATCTCACTGCCCCTGAAAATAACTGTTTTGCAGTTTCTTTTTAAAAAAAATATTTATTTTTTAGACAGAGGAGAAGGGAGGGAGAAAGAGAAGAGGAAAAACATCAAAGACATCAATGTGTGGTTGCCTCTTGTGTTCCCCCTACTGGGGACCTGGCCTGCAACCCAGGCATGTGCCCTGACTGGAAATTGAACCAGCGACCCTTTGGTTACACCAACCCTTTGGTGTATATGTTTGGCCAGCGCTCAAGCCACTGTACATCAGTCAGGGCTGTTTTTCAGTTTCTTTTACACATTTAAACTTAAGGAGAGAACATAAGGAAGGTTACATGAAGGTGGGAGGAAGCAACTTGGGGATTGGATTACAGGACAGTTAACAAGATGATGTACTCTCTTGAGGATAGATACCCCCTTTCAAACAGGATTATTGCTGGTGTTTCAAAGGTGTGTTAACCCTGATGCACAAGAACAATGGGCAGGGCTGGTTTAAAACCTTTCACTAAAGAAGGTCTGTGCTTGTGTCTTTGGGGCGTGAGGACTCTCCGGGAGCTGCCTGTTTAGGAATTTATGGTCAGAACACCCTGTGAGGTTACTTTCTATAGAGCTCCTTTTTTTTTGCCCAGAATATCTTAAGTTGAAAATGCCTTTAGTACACCTAGCCCACAGAACATGATAACTTAACCCAGCCTACCTTAAACATGCTGAGAACATATACATTAGCCTATAGGTGGGCAGAGTCATATTTTAAGAGCCTATTTGTATGACAGTGTTGAATATTTCATGTAGTTTCTTGAATACTATACTGAGAGTGAAAAACAGAATGGTTGTTTGGGTCCTCACCATAAACCACTAATGCAGCTGACAGCACACTGGGCCTGAAGAATGTTCGAAACATTGAACTACAACAATGGCCACATGGTACACTGCAGAGTGTGGTTTGTTTACCCTGGTGATGGATGGAGTGTCTGACTGGGAGTTGGGGCGTACGGCTTTTACAACATTGAAAAGTAAAATAATCAAAAGCAGAACCATCGTAAGTCACGGACCATCTGTCTTTAAGATGAACCTCCTTTTCCATGATGGCGTTGTTCCCGAACCCTTTCAGAAAGGAAGGTCTGCTGTCCAGGAGCATCTGGTGCTGAAACCCCTTGAATCTCGCCAGTCCCTAGATCAGGGAGACAGATTTGAGGCCTGCCTCTTGTCTCCTGGTCAGTAGACTTCACAATAAAAGCTTTTTTTCTTTTCAAAACAAACAAACAAACAACAACAACAAATGGTGTGTTTTAATTAAGAGCCAGAACCGAGGGAGGACCACTACCCAGTATGACGTTCAAACTAAGTACCTTTATCAGGTATTTTATTTATTTGTTTGATTTATTTTATTTAGAGAGGAGGAGGGAGGGAGAAAGAGAGAGAGAGAAACATAGATGTGTGAGAGAAATATTGATTGGTTGCCTCTTGCACGCTCCCAACTGGGGACCTGGCCCACAACTCAGGCATGTGCCCTGACCAGGAATCAAACTGACCTTTAGGTGTGTGGGACGATGCCCAACCCACCCAGCCACACCAGTCAGGGCAGCATTGCTAATAACAGCAAAAGGTTGGGGACCCTACAGATATCCATGAATAGAGGACTAACTAGATAAATATGCTCTATCCAAAGAAGACATCAAACAATTAGCTACTAAATTTAACAAGTTGGAATATTTACACAGTGCAGTATTTCTGTATGTGAGGCTATTAATGCAAGGATGTCAAAACCAAGGACAATCAAAAGCCAATCAGAAAGTATTAGTTTAGATTTTTACAAGGCTACACCTACATTCTTGAGTCCCGCCCTGGTTAATTTGTTATAGTTTTTGTATTCCCTCTGGGACAAAATCCTTCAGGCTATCTTGGATTACTAGTTATTTATCAAATCTTCTTAGCTGATAAGCTACTCTCTTTTACATTTTCTTTGGTTTGTGTCTCATAGTTCCAGAATATTCGGTGGCCCTTTAAAATTTTGCCAATTCTGCATTCTGGTTACTTCCTTTATTAGCCTAGTCTCACTTTTTGTTGAATGCTGTTTGCTGGATAGTTTGTGGTCTTTGGTCACTCCCATTGTTCCCCTTCATGAGCACACACCCTGCTTGGTGATTGGTGGCTAAAAACGGGGTCACCTAGAGTTAAGCCACTTAACAGGGGGGATAATATAACATAGTAAACAAAGTAAAGGAGTTGAGTCTTATTTGGTTAACAATCACATGTGGTGATTGTAGGGAGCAGGGGGAAGGTGGAAGAGGGTATAGGAGGTATAAATGGTGATAAAAAAGATTTAAGTTACAATCACAATGTACTAATTCTTGTACAAAATTCATTACAATGAACACTTCTTATAATGAACAAAACAAAATAAATAGCCAAAATTCTTAAAATGAACAAAAACCATGATTCAGGTGCTCACTTTTTGAGGAAGGACTACATAATTTTACAATACTGCTTTATGATTGCAAGATGCAAAGTCCATGATTTCATCACTTGTCTTCTGAAGTGGAAATGAATTCTGCCGTTTTTGCAGGGATGTTTTGACTTTAGTTTTTTCAATATTCATTCTTAATCTATGGGTAAAGATTTTTTATCTTGTTTATTGTCT